GATGTCACCGTGGTTGTTTAATATATTTATAGATGGGGTTGTAAGAGAAGTAAATGCGAGGGTCTTGGCAAGAGGCGTGGAGTTAAAAGATAAAGAATCACACATAAAGTGGGAGTTGTCACAGTTGCTCTTTGCTGATGACACTATGCTCTTGGGAGATTCTGAAGAGAAGTTGCAGAGATTGGTGGATGAATTTGGTAGGGTGTGCAAAAGAAGAAAATTGAAAGTGAATACAGGAAAGAGTAAGGTTATGAGGATAACAAAAAGATTAGGTGATGAAAGATTGGATATCAGATTGGCAGGAGAGAGTATGGAGGAGGTGAATGTATTCAGATATTTGGGAGTGGACGTGTCAGCGGATGGGTCTATGAAAGATGAGGTGAATCATAGAATTGATGAGGGGAAAAGGGTGAGTGGTGCACTTAGGAGTCTGTGGAGACAAAGAACTTTGTCCTTGGAGGCAAAGAGGGGAATGTATGAGAGTATAGTTTTACCAACGCTCTTATATGGATGTGAAGCATGGGTGATGAATGTTGCAGCGAGGAGAAGGCTGGAGGCAGTGGAGATGTCATGTCTGAGAGCAATGTGTGGTGTGAATATAATGCAGAGAATTCGTAGTTTGGAAGTTAGGAGGAGGTGTGGGATTACCAAAACTGTTGTCCAGAGGGCTGAGGAAGGGTTGTTGAGGTGGTTCGGACATGTGGAGAGAATGGAGCGAAACAGAATAACTTCAAGAGTGTATCAGTCTGTAGTGGAAGGAAGGCGGGGTAGGGGTCGGCCTAGGAAAGGTTGGAGGGAGGGGGTAAAGGAGGTTTTGTGTGCGAGGGGCTTGGACTTCCAGCAGGCATGCGTGAGCGTGTTTGATAGGAGTGCTGTTGGAGTGTGAGCAAAGTAACATTTATGAAGGGGTTCAGGGAAACCGGCAGGCCGGACTTGAATCCTGGAGATGGGAAGTACAGTGCCTGCACTCTGAAGGAGGGGTGTTAATGTTGCAGTTTAAAAACTGTAGTGTAAAGCACCCTTCTGGCAAGACAGTGATGGAGTGAATGATGGTGAAAGTTTTTCTTTTTCGGGCCACCCTGCCTTGGTGGGAATCAGCCAGTGTGATGATGATAAAAAAAAAAAATTTCAGCCGCTGTGTGGTCCGAACTGGTAGCCTCACCATGCCTTATCACACTATGTATGCCACTACAATTCTTAAATCTCTCAAACCAACCTTTGCTGGCCTTAAATTCACTCACATCATCATTGGTTGCAGGCATTTTTCTAATTAAATCGTCATGCAACTTCCTAGCCTTTTCACATATGATCACTTGAGAGATGCTATCTCCTGCAATCTGTTTTTCGTTTATCCACACCAATAAGTCTCTCAACATCTTCTGTCACTTGCGATCTCTGTTTCGAAAACAAAGTTGCACCTTTGGCAAGAACAGCTTCCTTGATTGCCGTTTTCTTGGCCACAATAGTAGTGATGGTTGATTGGAATTTTGTGTACAACCTGGCCAGCTCGGAGACACGCACTCCACTTTCATACTTAGCAATGATCTCTTTCTTCATATCCATTTGCTGTAGGGTTGGCACTAGAAGCTTTCTTGGGGCCCATGGTGACTTATTTTGCAGGTGCAATCACTAAAAAGGCTGTGATAATATGAAATGTTCCGATTGTATGCTTGGAAGCGACCACGGTGGCTGGCTTGTAAACACTGTAAATTGTAAATTGTAAATTGTGAGTTCATTACCTTTGTAAATTGTGAGTTCATTACCTTTGTAAATTGTGAGTTCATTACCTCTGTAGCTTGCTCAGCTATCAAAACTTTGGAGTCCAGTCCCTGGACCAATTATGTACCTCTGTAATCTTTTGACTACCGCCCACAGGATGGGTATGGGGTGCATAATAAACATATTAAACTAACACTAACCAAGGAACAAGTGAGGCGGGCTCAAGCCACATGTGGACACGTCTCGAACAAACCGCGTTGAGCGAGTTTTTTAGCACTAGCTGAGGCAAAATTTTTGCGTTAAAATGTATCGCTAGGTGGATATAACGTTATGCGATGCGTTCGTTAGGCGAGGTTCCACTGTATTTTCTTTTTGGGGATTTTTTTTTTTTTGGGTCACCCTGCCTCAGTGGGAGACGGCCGACTTGTTAAAAAAAAAAAAAAATAGTAATAATAATAATATTAACAACAGTAAGGAGAAACTTCAAAAGGCTGCCAGTAGTTGGCACCACCATCAGCAAAACTTTGGTAACCACTACTAGTACACTTTGCACCTGTATAGACTTAAGTAGTTTATTAGTACATGTATTAGGTTAAGGGGTGCCTCCGGGAAATTTCCGCGCGCGCTCACCGAAATATCGGAAAAATATGGATAGTGAGTTATATATACTGAAAAATAGCTCAACTCTTTGGCAACACAATGGTACCAGAATGAATGTTCTACGACGTTTCTACAAGAAATTACAGTCATTTATATGAGGTAAGGTGACGGTGATATTGGTAGCGAGTCTGCTCACAGCCCATATATATTTTGGAAATTTTTCCTTGTTTTTTATCGCTTTTTCTTGCATTATACTTTCTAATATAATAACTGACTACTTGGCATCATAAAACTGAAGGCGGAGCTTATCCCTAGATTGAGCAACAGTCATTAATCATATCATAATGCGCGGAAGGGTTGCCGCGCCAGGAGAAATTACTTCATTATTACGCTTATATCAGCTTATATATCAACTCTACAGCTTATTTATCTATCAGAATTGTTCTAATATGATATAATAAACACTCTAAATAACATACAAACATGTTATATACTCTAGACTGAAAAAAATAGACCATAATATGGCGAAAGATTATCGGGAATATTTCGATAAATATTGAGTTACTGCTCTCCATGTCGTCTCCGTGTCGTATTCTTTGGTCTCTGAGTAAGAGAAAACGGTGTTTTGAAGAGGATAACTGCACTAGAACATCAGTTTACTAAGAAATACACCCAAACAAACGCGATTTTCGCGAAAAAAAAACTTTTTTTTTTGAGACGGTGGGCCGGCCGGCGTTCTAGGCCTATATCTCGGAAGTAACTTATTCCTCTACAGTTGCTATTTCTGCATTTATTACTTAATTAAATGGAATAATATTCACAGAAATTGTAGAATAATGGTTTCTCTAATTTTGTTTAAAGGTAATTTTGGAAATATTCAAATACTTTCGGAGTTATGTGGGAGTAAAGGGCAGATTTTTTGCAGTATTCCAGGAACTAAAAAAAAATTTTTTTTTTTTTATATAAAGATACGTTATTTAGAGAAAAGGCGTTGCCTAAAATTAGTTTAAGCATTGCTCTCTCGGCACCAAGTGTCCAAACAACCTTACGATGTCCCATATAGGAATGATTTTTGAGACAAGGACATTTTTCAGAAAATCAGTCTTTTTCAGTCTTTTCTCAGTTGTCGTTTGAGGTATATTTTTGATAAATATTTTCAAGAATGAGTGAAAACACTTTGTCTTGTGCACCAAAACTGGAGGAAATCGGACGGTAAACAAAAAAGCTACATTTTTTTGCCGGAGGCACTCCTTTTAAGTCTGCCCTAAATGCCTCGGCATGATAGTGGCTTTCTTTGCTTCAATCATATTATGATGTGTAAACACACATTGTAACCTTTGCAAAGAAATAAATTTTTATTTATCTATTTATTTAAGGAAACTCCCTTGAGAGGGAAGTTCACATCCTGAAATTTCATTCATATCCAGAAGCAAAAAATCAACCGGACAGTTCGTATCCTGAAAAATTTGAATGGTGGGGCGTTCGTAAGCCGAAGTTATACTGTATTTCCCGTGATTTTATATGGCACATTCTCTGTATCTTTAATGTATGTAAAAGATATTAGTTACTATTTTCTTCAATTTCCACAGCAGTCTCTCAGTTCTCCAACATGTTATGATTACTTTTATTTCTTTGCATGTTGGTCCACTATATTTTCTGTTTAAATGTTTTCTTGCATCAATTTTGTTTGTTACTCAACATCAATAGCACTAAGTACCGACTTACTCTTCTCAGAACAGCATTTTTTGGGAGGTGTAGATTTTGTGTTTGCGTATTTCTTTCCAGGCATTGATGCCAGGTGTTGCCATCGATGATTGTGCTCATTGATTAAGTGCACTAATTAAATTATTGTATGTGCTGTAGTATCTCTATGCCTCTGGCAAGACAGTGATAGATCGAATGATGGTGAAAGTATTTCTTTCTTGGGTTATCCTACCTCTGTGGGAGACAACCAGTTAAAAAAAAAATGTACATTTAAAATTCAAGTCCTCCATCTACACTTGCAGCCCACTGTGTACTCAAAGGTTCTTCAGTCTTTTATGCACTTATATTGACTTTCTCATTATTCCATGTTTTGTAACTGTTGTAATAGAAATTGTCTTCAGGATACCCATTAGGGTATCAATATGTTGTGTATTGCTTCATTATTATGTACTGTAGTGATAATTTTTTTTTTTTTATGAGGTGTAATACTTTGCTCAGTTACACATCTCATGCTAACCACTGATTAAGATCCTTATTCGTGGAGACTGTTGTTTCCTGACCACCAAGAACCTGCTAGTTTTGCAGTTCAGAATTGTATGATCTTTTAACAGTGCATGAATGTTTGTCTTATTCTATCTGTAAATTGTCTGTAGACAATTTTAATGGTCAATAACATGTTCTGATCCCAGACCAGGCCTCTTGGTTGATGAACTGTGCACTCAAGGTACTGGTGCTGGCCATGTGTAGTTCAACGTGGGCACTACAGCCCAGCTGATCAGTAACTAATGTGAGGAACTTAAGTTCCCTTTTCAAAACTGCTAAGACTTTTTTTTTTATACAAGATGTAAACTGTTAAATTGTTTTTCCTAAACATTTTTTAATTGTTTTAATTTAAAAAAATGTTGTCAGGTTTCCTTGTATTGTTTATTTTTTCTCTGTAGAGGAAACATATTTCATATGATTGTATAGCAAATTAAAAATGTCAAATTTTATATTCATATTGTATTACAGAACATGGCAAGCCAGAGGACAAGAGTAAAATTGTGGGTGTAGTACGAGGAGGAGTTCTGAAACTGTCTCAGCATAAGTTTGCTTCAAACGTTGTTGAAAAATGTGTAACACATGCCACCCGCGCTGAGAGGGCCATGCTTATTGAGGAGGTAAACGTGGGTACCATTTGGGGATAATTGAACCTCACCAATTATTGTTGTTAATTGCATGATTACCATCCCAGAATATTAACAAAGTTTGAATTTATCTCTGTAATATGAAATTGTTCTACTGTTCTAGGCAAGCATTTTTAATTCAGCTGTTTATATGTTGTGACAAAAGTTGCATATATTTTAATCTTTATGAAAGAAAAAAAATATTAAGATTATGCTAAGAGGCTTGGGCATGTGTGAGCATGTTAGATAGGAGTAAGTAGAGGCAAGTGATGTTTATGATTTGATGCACTGTTGGAGTGTGAGCAAGGTAACATGAAGTCATTAGGGAAACTGGTTAGCCAGATTTGAGTCCTGCACTCTGAAGGAGGGATGTGGTTTGGAGGATCATCTATTATACAGCCCCATTTCAGTTTTATATCAGTCCCTTGCATGATAAAAGGCTACTTCTAATGCTAAAAACATCCATTAATTTTTTTAATTACCTATTATAAATTCAGTTTATATAGACAGTGAAAACTTAAGAAAATTACATAACTAACTGGTGAATATTAATGAATACAAAATCATGTCATGTAATCATTTCTCTGTGTAATAGGATATATAAGAAGAGTGGACTCTGTTGTCCCTCCCTCCCTAATAACTGCATCTGTAAGCACTGCTTCACTGCTTTCAAACGTATTAAAACTTCCTCCAGAAATTCTCAAGCTCAAGATAAAATTGCATCAAGGACAAAGTTACTTAACAATTTGCTCTGAAGCCAAGACTAATTTCATTGAATGAGGTTTAAACTGGAAAGTTAAATAATATTTTGTTGCTACTATCTATTTGTTAAATATACCAGTAAAAACAAACATTCAGTAATCATCATACTTTATCAGAGACATTTACTTACCCTACCATTTTTTTACTCCATCGGATTGTTGTTCAATGTTTTTTCCAGCTTGGTAGTTTCCCCATGCCCAAGTCTCATTGTGGTCATTATTTCTTATGTCGGTATTAACCTGTTTAGTATTGTATTACCTGTATGATAAACTTTGTTTATCGTGCAGTCTTAATTTTGTATTAATCACAGTTTAGAGCTTCCTGGGACCTCCAGGAACATACCACCCTTCCCCATCTCTCTGAATTTATAGAGCCAGCTATAATTTTTAAAGTGTAAAATTGTACAACTTTAAATGATTTCAAAAGAATGTGAATATCTGCATCTGACTTAGTAAATAAAATAGAAATAGTATTGGATGTGGTATATTTCCATATGAATTTTATGCTTGTAGGTATTGAATACATAATTGTGGTAGGGGAGATATTGCTCAGAAGATGTAAAATAGCATTATATACTTAAATTCTGATAACATTTATAGCATGCTCCAAATGTTAAGTAAACTTGTTACCCTAAACTAACACCCCTAAGTTTACACACAGTAACATGAGCAGCACATGCTAAGCTCACAAACATTAAATTTAGTGTCAGAGTTGAATATAAGACTACAGGTGCCAGGCCTACTGACAGGAAAATAGTTTGCATAATTTACTGGGGAAAGTACTTCATCAGAGAAGAAACGGTGTTTTGTATGAGGAGTTAGGGTATTTGCCTGTAAAGTAACTTGTGATGTGAACGTTGGTGTTAGTTTTTTTTTTTTTTTTTTTATCCAAGTATGACCTGTGGTTGAGCAGTTGAGATGATTTACAATTTTAGTAGATGAGATTGGAGTTTAATTGAGAAACTAGAAATAAGAAAATATAACTTGTCTCGGCTTCTAAAACTGTTTTTCTATTTGACTCACGAAATCGTAATGACATGATTGCAAACAAACCATACCCCGGCCAGGATTGAACCCGTGGTCATAGAGTCTCAAAACTCAGCCCGTTGCGTTAGCCACTAGACCAGCTAGCCACAATAAGATTAAGATTCGTCCAACTAGGTACAGTGGACCCCCGCATAGCGACTTTAATCCGTGCAAGAGGGCTCATTGTTATGGGAAATGATCGGTATGCGAATGAATTTTCCCCATAAGAAATAATGGAAATCAAATTAATCCATGCAAGACACCCAAAAGTATGAAAAAAAAAAAAATTTTACCACATGAAATGTTAATTTTAATACACACAAACTGAAAAAGGCATGCACAATTACATGACACTTACTTTTATTGAAGATCTGGCGATGATTGATGGGATGGGAGGAGGGGAGAGAGAGAGTTAGTGTTTAGAAGGGGAATCCCCTTCCATTAAGACTTGAGGTGTCGAGTCTTTTTCTGGGGTTACTTCCCTTCTTCTTTTAATGCCGCTAGGACAGCTTCAGGGGTCACTGGACTTCTTTCGCACAACATATCTGTCCATAGTGGCCTGTACCTCTCGTTCCTTTATGACTTCCCTAAAGTGTTTCACAACATTGTCAGTGTACAGGTTGCCAACACGGCTTGCAATAGCTGTGTGAGGGCGATTCTCATCCATAAAGGTTTGCACTTTCAGCCACATTGCACAGATTTCCTTAATCTTTGTAGTAGGCAACTTCTTCAATTTCTCTCTCCCCTCCTCTGAACCAGTTTCCTCAGGTCTGGCCTCTTGCTGTTGAAGTTGATCTATCAGCTCATCAGTGGTTAGTTCTTCATTGTCCTCCTCCACCAACTCTTCCACATCCTCCCCACTAACCTCCAACCCCAAGAACTTTCCCAATGCCACAATGGATTCCTCAACTGGCATAATCCTCTCAGGGTTAGCCTCAAACCCTTCAAAATCCCTTTTGTCTACACATTCTGGCCACAGTTTCTTCCAAGCAGAGTTCAAGGTCTTCTTAGTCACTCTCTCCCAAGCCTTACCTATAAGGTTTACACAATTGAGGATATTAAAGTGCTCTCTCCAAAACTCTCTTAGTCAGTTGAGTTTGAGGTCACTACAAAGCACCTTTCAAACAGAGCTTTTGTGTACAGTTTTTTGAAGTTTGCAATAACCTGCTGGTCCATGGGCTGCAGGAGAGGAGTGGTATTAGGAGGCAAAAACTTCACCTTAATGAATTTCATGTCCCCATAAAGTCGCTCTGCCACATCTGTAGGATGACCAGGGGCATTGTCTAACACCAGGAGGCACTTAAGTTCTAATTTCTTTTCAGTTAGGTAAATCTTTTCACATTGGGGGCAAATGCATGGTGTAACCAGTCATAGAAAAAGTCCTAGTGACCCATGCCTTACTGTTTGCCCTCCACAGCACACACAAATTCTCCTTGAGGACATTCTTTTGCCTGAACGGTTCTGGAGTTTCAGAGTGATACACTAATAAAGGCTTCACTTTGCAATCACCAGTAGCATTGGAACACATCAACAAAGTAAGCCTGTCTTTCATAGGCTTATGTCCTGGGAGTGCCTTTTCCTCCTCAGTAATGTACGTCCTCCCTTGGCATTTTCTTCCAAACAGGCCTGTTTCATCACAATTAAACACTTGTTCAGGTTTCAGTCCTTCACTGTCTATGTTTCTCCTTGAATTCCTGCACATAATTTTCAGCTGCTTTGTGGTCCGAACTGGCAGCCTCACCATGCCTTATCACACTTGTATGCCACTACGCTTCTTAAATCTCTCAAAAACCCAAACCCTTTTCTGGCCTTAATTCACTCACATCATCACTAGTTGCAGGCATTTTTTTAATTAAATTTCCCCATGCAACTTCCTAGCCTTTTCGCTTACGATCGCTTGAGAGACGCTATCTCCTGCTAGCTGTTTTTCATTTATCCACACCAATAAGAGTCTCTCAACATCTTCCATCACTTGCGATCTCTGTTTCGAAAACACAGTTAAACCTTTGGCAAGAACAGCTTCCTTGATTGCCTTTCTGTTGCCCACAATAGTAGCGATGGTTGATTTGGGTTTCTTGTACAACCTGGCCAGGTCGGCGACACGCACTCCACTTCCATACTTATCAATGATCTCTTTCTTCATCTCTATAGTAATTCTCACCCTTATTGCTGTAGGGTTGGCACTAGAAGCTTTCTTGGGGCCTATGGTCACTTATTTTGCAGATAAAATCACCAAAAACACTGTAATAATACGAAATGTTCCGATTGTATGCTTGGATGTTACCGCGGAGTCTGGCTGGTAAACAATGCCACCGGCGGCACATGTGAGGCTGGCTAAGGGCGCACATTGGACGCATCTCAGACGAACAGCGGTGAGCGGGTTTTTGAGCGGTATGCGAGGCAAAATTTTTGCGATAAAAGCAAGCGGTATGCGGATTGAACGTTATGTGATGCCGACGGTATGCGGGGGTCCACTGTATATTTCTACACCATAGGAAGGTTAGCACAGGCACCACTGTGACCACAAATGCAAGTTTTTACAGACGAATCTCCAGCTAGTGTGGCCGTGACGAACTCTAGCTCAAGTCCCTTCACTGCCGTCAACATGACTCACAAAATCGTAATGACACGATTGCAAACAAACCATACCCCGGCTGGGATTGAACCCGCGGTCATAGTCTCAAAACTCCAGCCCGTCGCGTTAGCCACTAGACCAGCTAGCCACAATAAGATTCGTCCAACTAGGTATATTTCTACACCATAGGAAGGTTAGCACAGGCACCACTGTGACCACAAATGCAAGTTTTTACAGACGAATCTCCAGCTAGCGTGGCCGCTGGTCTAGTGGCTAACGCGACGGGCTGGAGTTTTGAGACTCTATGACCGCGGGTTCAATCCCGGACGGGGTGTGGTTTGTTTGCAATCGTGTCATTACGATTTCGTGAGTCATGTTGACGGCAGTGAAGGGACTTAAGCTAGAGTTCATCACGGCCACACTAACTGGAGATTCGTCTGTAAAAACTTGCATTTGTGGTCACAGTGGTGCCTGTGCTAACCTTCCTATGATGTAGAAATATACCTAGTTGGACGAATCTTATTGTGGCTAGCTGGTCTAGTGGCTAACGCGACGGGCTGGAGTTTTGAGACTATGACCGTGGGTTCAATCCCGGCCGGGGTATGGTCTGTTTTTCTATAATTTAAATGTTCTTTTCTGACTTTGAATGATTTGATTAGTATGTTACCATTGTTGGTTTATAGTATTGTTTTTATTTTATATTTTTCAAAGTGATAGTTGTAGGTGTCCAGTGAAAAATTGTAGAAGAGGAGAGGTAATGAGACAATACTAATACTGTCATTTAGTATTTATTGTGGTAGGGAACAGAGATGCCTGTTTAATAACTAACATCCAGTATTTGCTTCATTTTAATTTTTTGTATGACAAAACCTAGTTGAACTAAATCTTACAATTTATGCCTTTTGACAGGTGTGTGGATACAATGACAATGCTCATAGTTCACTTCTGGTGTTAATGAAAGACCAGTATGCTAACTATGTTGTGCAAAAAATGATAGACGTGGCTGAACCAGCTCAGCGGAAGATGCTCATGCACAAGATTCGCCCTCACATTTCCACTCTCCGTAAATATACATATGGTAAATTATGACTTCTTAACATTGAGGGTTAAGCATGGTGTTTACTTATTGTATTTATCTGTAATACATCACCTTCATGACACAATCTAAAGGTCGTTTTTTTTTTTCTCTTGTAACTCTTGTTGTTGCAAATTCATGGCAGGTACCCTGAAAGGGAAGGTGGTATAATGTATACCCTAGTTTCATTATTTTATTTCCTTCCACTCCCTTTATCTTTCTTGTTTCCATTTCTGTTGATTCAAATTTCCCCATTATCCTTCCTTTCCCTCTTTTCTACCTTTCCCTGCCTTCCTGTTCTTCCCTCCTTCCCAATCCTCCCTCCTTCCCTATCCTCTCTCCTTACCTTTCCTCCCTCTCTTCCCTCTTCTTTCTGCCGACGTTCCTCCTTAACATCTGTCTCTTCCACATAATATTGAATGACCCTTATCAGTTTAGTGACCTCTTCAAATACAGTGGTACCTCGAGTTACGAACTTAATTTGTTCCAGAAGGCTGTTCAAGTTTCGATACCAAATGAATTTGTTCCCATAAGGAATAATGTAAATTACATTAGTCAGTTTCAGACCCCCAAAAATATATGTACTCATAAAAGCACTTACATAATTGTTTGAGTTGGGAGCTGTTCGAAACTCTAGGCACCACTGTGTATTACGTAATAATGTAAATCTCCTTGGGAAAGTGGAGAAGAATCCTTCCTCCATATGCCTTGCATAGCAATGAAACCACAAAACAAGTGGTATTGAATCATTTACCAAACTGCAGCTGGCCAGGATTCGACCCCACAGCCTGCAGTTATGAATTATTGATAAGAGACAGGTTTCGAGTTCATTTTTCGTATAATAAAGATGGTAGAAGAGTAAAGAATTTTTGATAATTTTGGTTAGGACAAAAACGATGGAAATATTAAAGCTAATCAGAAGACTGATAGAAATCCAACATTTTTAATAGAAGAGAACATTTAGAATAGGAAGGCGGGGTAGGGGTCGTCCTCGAAAAGGTTGGAAGGAAGGGGTAAGGGAGGTTTTGTGGGCGAGGGGCTTGGACTTCCAGCAGGCAGGCGTGAGCGTGTTCGATAGGCGTGAATGGAGACAAATGGTATTTGGGACCTGACTAGCTGTTGGAGTGTGAGCAGGGTAATATTTAGTGAAGGGATTCAGGAAAACCGGTTATTTTTATATAGCCGGACTTGAGTCCTGGAAATGGGAAGTACAGTGCCTGCACTCTAAAGGAGGGGTGCGGGATATTGGCAGTTTGGAGGGATATGTTGTGTATCTTTATACGTATATGCTTCTAAACTGTTGTGTTCTGAGCACCTCTGCAAAAATAGTGATTATGTGTGAGTGAGGTGAAAGTGTTGAATGATGATGAAAGTATTTTCTTTTTGGGGATTTTCTTTCTTTTAGGGTCACCCTGCCTCAGTGGGAGATGGCTGACTTGTTTAAAAAAAAAAATATATATATATACTTTGGGAAAGAGCTGACCTAAGAAGGTTACATTTGAGTGTCATGTAATATGCCTATATGTGACTCTTGAGTCTTAGCTCCTGGCCCTGCCTCTCAGCTTGCCACTTACCAGATTCACTGTTCTAGTCTCGTGGACCTTATGGTACCTATTCTTAAAACAATTTATGTAGTCTGTCTCCACCACTTAGTTGAGGTCATTTCATGACCTGACCACCCTGAGACTGAAGAATTACTGTACTACCTGACATCCTTGTGACTTACCTGTCTTTAACATTCAGTTATGCCTCTCAGACAGTTTCTTCCTGTCTGCCCTATCAATTCCTCTGAGCATCTTGTATGTTACCTTGTCTCCCCTGGTCCTTCTATCCTTGAGGGTTGTCATTCAGTTTATCGTTTTCTCGTAGCTCATACCCCTTGGCTTTGGAACTAGTTTTGTTGTATACCTCTGCATTTTCTCCAGTTTTTTCACATGTTTCCTCAGGTGTGGGTTCCACGCTGTTGCTTTGTGCACCAACATGGGCCTGTCATATTTTGTATAAAGCACCCAGAATGACTTCGTTGAGACTCTTGCTCTGAGACTTGCCATGTGGGCATTGGCTGTAGAGATTATTCAGTTGATGTGTACCTCCTCCTCTTTGAATGAGATCTGCAGCCACTGTCCCCAAGAGTCTATACTCTGTCCAATCTTCTGGCCCCTTCCCCTGTCTTCATAATCTTGCATTTTCTGGGGTTGTATTTAAGTAGCCATTTATTTAACTCTGCAGTTTGTCCAGAGCCTTTCCTAGTCCTTGTCTGTTCGTTTTCTTCATAGTTATGTATCATCAGTGAATAATCATGTGGTTCTTTTACCTTAAACAAAATATTGATAAAAGATATCAAAAAATCTTTGTGATTATAGACTAAACAAGCTGATTTATGATCAGTGCATCAAGGCTGACTTAAAACCACCAATTTGAATTCTGAACTGTATTGAAACCAAAATTTCGTTAGCTAGTGTAATCAATGTACATATCAGCATTATCTTTAGTCCTCACATCTTAACCCTCTTCACATGGCAATATGTATACAGTGTAAAGAAAGAACTTGCATTTGCTACAAATTGTCCTTGTACGAAACCCTTTCTCACTTCAAAGAGGAAAAGGAACCTTTTTTTTTTTTAATATTGCATTCATTAATGTAACACTTATTCGTGCTATCAATTGTTCCATTGATAGTAATATTGTTTTATCGTGTCTTGTGAATTGGAAATATAATTTTGGCATGTAGATGTTCATTTGGTTAGTAAAGCAGCTCTAGTGTTTGAAGTATACCTGTATGAAGTATACCTGTACCTTCATATTATGCAGAGTATTGGTTGTATCCTTGATTTCTAAAACAATTTCTTTTATTTTAGGTAAACACATTTTGGCTAAACTGGAGAAATACTTCATGAAGAATGCCCCTGATACTATGGGTCCCAGCATGACAAGCCCCCTCTAGGCTGCCCTCACCTCACTTCGACCACCACATGCCACTGTTCCAAAAATAAGGGAAAATGCTGACATCTTTATTTTTTATTTAGTTTTTAGTTTTTATCAACTTTTTGAGCACGCAGTTTATCTTCAATAAAGTGCCAGTGGTGTGAAGCACATAAGTTAGCTGTTAGTGATGTTATGTATTATAATGTATCTGATGTTGTTAAATATTTTTCTCATGTCTTTTAAGCCTTATTGACTAAAATGGAATTGAAGATTTAAAAATTTTTGAAATGCATTATAGATCATAATCAGTTAAATCTGATTACATGTAAAACAAATTACATATTTATTTTCTCTCCCACAAATAAAACCTTGAATAAAGGTAGTATTAACATTCTAACTTGAGTTCCTAGTTACTTTTACCCTGTAAAAATCTAGGATGACCAAATTATTTAATTTTAAATTTAGAATTTAATCAATGGACTGGCAACATTTTCCTGCTTGATTTAATGTTTGTCAAGTTAAAGCTGTTGGTATTGACATGCATATCCTTATTATCTTGCAAATTAAAGGTAACTGTTTATACCTTTACCTGTCAGGTATTTAGAATGATGGAATTTTGGGGGGACAATTTAATACATATATGATTTCTTGTTGTAAGAATTCAAAAGCCATTGGAAAAATTAATGTTAATTAAAACTTATTTTGGTGTGCCCTTAATGCATAGTAACTATTCAGCTAGGCTCTTGTAGTGTGATAGAGCATGTTATTCATTATTGTGGGCTTCTGGCTATTTGCATGATTTTGCTGTAGTGAGCTTTTTCCCATATATATAAAATTTGAATCTTAGAAATACCTGTTTGCCACTTTTTACCCAATTGGTAAATGTTGTTACCTAATGTTGTATTGCTCTTTCTTTCACATTAGTAATGGTGTGTAATGTTAGTAATGTATTTAGAAGCTGTGTTTGCCTCTCAAAAGCAAATATGGTACTTCTCAAGTGATTAAAGCAGAGCATGGAAGGCATCCCATATCGGAACACATGCAAAGGTAAAAAACCAATCATGAAGGATTATATGTTCCAGTATCTGGCACTTATGCACATTAGGTTGGTAAGCACAGGTGTAATAGGATTGAAGCTGTAGGAAGCCAGTTCCTAACATAAGACAAAGGTCGGTCAATAACTTGTTGCATTTCGTTTTTAAAAGTCCACAATGGAAGTGGTTGGTGTTTTAAAGTGGATGATGTGGGAGGTGCCTGCCCTGGCCCGTGTCCCAGTAACGGTGCGGGACTCTGCCCTCGTCCAGCCAATAGGTCATCTCGGCCTAGTGCATTGTAAAATTTGATGTACATTGTATCAACTGGTATATATAAAGCAATTTCAATATGTAATATTGGGCATTACTGTAAATCTGTACAGTCGAATATTCTATATTTTCTTACTTGTTTGTGTGTTTGTAATGTCAGTGTGATAATACCACCACTAAATCCAGCACAATTGTGGCAAGTCATGCCTGTGTGTTAGTAGACTGGTGTCTGAATCATCATACATTGTAAAAATTTCAGTTGAACACTCACCAACCTATTGTCTCACCAGCTGCAAACCATAAGGACACTGGCACTTACACTGCATTTTTAAGATCCCACACAATGCTGCAATTCCCCCCTGAGGTTTGTAAGCACGTCTTTTGCAGTGCACTCTCCTGGGACTGGCATTCATGAGGATGAGGAGGTAGAATGGCCTTTTTACCAACAATAGATTGTATATTTCAGTGATTTCTCCTCCCCTTACTCTTGTTGCTGGCCACCAAGTACGAAAAATCCAGGCTTCTGGGTTATAATCATTTTTCTGCTTAAATTCTCTTGAACTAGTAGCAGACTGTGCCTGGTATGTTTTACTGGTTCATGAGTATGAGGAGCAGTGTTAATATCTGTTAAACTTGTAACTTTGTATCCCAGTACTGGAGCTCTTGCAGGCTGGAACAGGCCCTTGTGTTTATACTGTAGAGCTCCTGCCCTTGCCAAAAGACTTAACATTGTCAAATTGTAAATTCTGTGAATATTATTGAATTTTTTGTGCAGCCAATATTGTGGCTTGTAATGTAACATTTTGTAATAAATTAGTGTACAGAAAATACTGATGTGTACATTTGGAACATGTACCTTTTGTAAACGCCATATTGTACAGAGCACATGGTGATATACTGATGAGCTGTGTTACTGCTGTATAGTAAATTGTACATATTGATTATGAAGCAAGATCTTAGCTTGGCCTGTACCTGCCTGTTGAGCACTAGTTGTATATTACATATGTAGATGTAATTTTCTTGTAAACTGTATTTTGTATATGTCCTAAGCTAACAGTAGTTGGTGTAATATTTACTGTCTTGATCTCACAGTTCCTGCGGGGAAGATGTGAAAAGTAACAATTTTGGTAATTTTTGCCTTGCTTGTAGTATGCCATCTTGGTTTGGGTCTTATCTCACATCTCATGTTTACAGTTTTAATCTGCCTTAGATTTAAGTAAAGAAAAATAAAATCAAACATTTTCACACTTCTCCATGGAAATGCTCTCTCCACCAATCTGGCTTCTGGGTTCTGTAGTTAAATTGGATAAAGTATTTCATTCAATGTCATTGAATAAAGACTTTAATTCAGTTTTGATTATGGGACCAAAGTTGTCAGAACTGTACATCTATGTACATTTTCATATTTGTAACCTTTGTTTGCCTTAGATGTAGACGGACATGGTTCTTTGGCCCAATTTTTGGCACCAGCTTCCCTCTTGAAGTTTTATATTGTGTTCATATATTCATTCAAACTATGTAATCTTGTTCAGACTTCACATTAAGCTGTTAATGTTGAAGTTTTTGCACCATGTCTGTTGATATTAGCAGTTATTAAACAGTTTCGTGTAATTTTTGTATTGTTTGTATTAGTGTAGTTAGCCTAGAGGTGTGCTAATTGGCTGCGGGGCTTGCTTCTCCCTGACATGGCAATTTCTGTGGCTTTCAATGAAACTGTATTATATTGGTAGTGGCAACTACTGTTATATTTTTTGTTACTGTTTCTCTTCACTAAAACAACTATCGGTACTTTGCTCTTCATGTTAAGAGCATATCTTCATTTTTGTGATCATTACTGCCAAATCAGGGAAACAATCCCTCAAGCCTTACGCTAAACCTTTGTCATCCAGGCCACACTAGCGTGTACGTAGGACATTTTCAACTGTATTATATGTAAAAAATGTATCTTATACAATATGTATAAAATGGAGTGATGCATTCCATTTGAACATCCAAGGTTTTTTATCACTGTGGAAAGGTGAACAGTCTGATGGCCAACCGCTCCAGTTAGCTATCCTCTGCCAGCATTGTTTCTAGAGTTGTTACTGTTACTGGCCAGGGTGGAGGTATGGCTTGGCCTCGGTAACCCTTCTCCGTGCTCCCCTCTTGCTATTATTCCCGGCCACCCCTCAATTTGGGGCTATCATTGCTAACCTATTGGCCTGAGTCAAGGTTAATCTTGTAAATTATTGACAAAACAAAGTTTCCTTGTTCCAGTACTTGATTAATATTAAAAATCTACAGCTTGTATAATTAATTTTTTTTTATAATGCCAGTAAATCATTTTCAATTCAAACCCAAATACCACAAGAAGATCAAGAGACAGTGCCTTGCCACTACTGCTTGTTAGTGAGGAGCGTGGAGAATGGCAGAATGCAGAGGGTGTCCTCCTATGGGGAGGGTGGGGCTGGGCCAACCATAAACCGTGTGGGCTGGTTGCAGCTCTTAAGGTGCTGCTGTACAATTGTTTTACAGTTGTCAACATGAGACAGGATGACTTATGTATAATCTTATACACATTTCTTACTCTCTCTAAGCTATTTACTGAACATAGCTTGACTTTGTCAATTAATACTCTTCTAGAAGAGAAGATTTTCATTGCTTTTTGTTCTCTTCATTTCTTTATTTCAAACCAAGTTTACCCGGACTCATGTGACCAGCCCAGCGTCCTAAACTTCTCACCAATTAATCAGTTCTGTTATGTACATGCTGTATCATATGTAATGGTCTACTCCATTAATAAACTTTCTGTAATGTGAAATGGTACATTAATATTCCATCACATAATTATGTGAGTAAAAAATTGAACAAAGTAATGAGAGTGGACAGGACTTGTGTAAATATGTAAAGAATATTTTGTGAACTAAAAATTCTTATACATAATATAATTTAATTTTCTCTCTCTCTCAAGGGTAATCGTCTTTTAGTGGTGGAAGGTGTGTGTGATAATGAAAGTATGAGCTATACTAAGAAGCCCTACATGCCATAGTTGAGTATCTTCACTAAGTGCTGCTCTTGTATACTTGCCAAGCATAAACTTGGTAAATAAGTTTGTGAAGAATGAAGAGTCAGGGTGTGGCAGTGTAACTTTGTACATTTAATGAGGCCAGAATATTACCTGGACATTTGCAGCAATCTTCTTCTTTCAACGTACCAGCCGTATCCCACTGAGGTGGGGTGGCCCAAAAGGAAAAACTAAAGTTTCACCTTTTAAATTTAGTAATATATACAGAAGGGGTCACTAGTCCCCTTGCTCCCGGCATTTTAGCCGCCTCTTACGACACGCATGGCTTATGGAGGAAGAATTCTGTTCCACTTCCCCATGGAGATAAGAGGAAATAGACAACAAGAACTTTAAAGAATTATTATTTTTATTATTATCACACTGGCCGATTCCCACCAAGGCAGGGTGGCCCGAAAAAGAAAAACTTTCACCATCATTCACTCCATCACTGTCTTGCCAGAAGGGTGCTTTATACTACAGTTTTTAAACTGCAACACCCCTCCTTTAGAGTGCAGGCACTGTACTTCCCATCTCCAGGACTCAAGTCCAGCCTGCCGGTTTCCCTGAACCCCTTCATAAATGTTACTTTGCTCACACTCCAACAGCACGTCAAGTATTAAAAACCATTTGTCTCCATTCACTCCTATCAAACACGCTCACGCATGCCTGCTGGAAGTCCAAGCCCCTCGCACACAAAACCTCCTTTACCCCCTCCCTCCAACCTTTCCTAGGCCGACCCCTACCCCGCCTTCCTTCCACTACAGACTAATACACTCTTGAAGTCACTCTGTTTCGCTCCATTCTCTCTACATGTCCGAACCACCTCAACAACCCTTCCTCAGCCCTCTGGACAACAGTTTTGGTAATCCCGCACCTCCTCCTAACTTCCAAACTACGAATTCTCTGCATTATATTCACACCACACATTGCCCTCAGACATGACATCTCCACTGCCTCCAGCCTTCTCCTCGCTGCAACATTCATCACCCATGCTTCACACCCATTTAAGAGCGTTGGTAAAACTATACTCTCATATACATTCCCCTCTTTGCCTCCAAGGACAAAGTTCTTTGTCTCCACATACTCCTAAGTGCACCACTCACCCTTTTCCCCCTCATCAATTCTATGATTCACCTCATCTTTCATAGACCCATCCGCTGACACGTCCACTCTCAAATACCTGAATACATTCACCTCCTCCATACTCTCTCCCTCCAATCTTTCATCACCTAATCTTTTTGTTATCCTCATAATCTTACTCTTTCCTGTATTCACTTTTAATTTTCTTTTGCACACCCTACCAAATTCATCCACCAATCTCTGCAACTTCTCTTCAGAATCTCCCAAGAGCAGTGTCATCAGCAAAGAGCAACTGTGACAACTGCCACTATAAAGAAAATAGAAGAAAACCCAGAGGGGTATGTATATATACGCTTGTACATCTAAGTGCAAGTAGAAGTACCAAGACGTACCTGAAACCTTGCATATTTATGAGGCAGAAAAATGGACACCAGCAATCCTACCATCATGTAAAACAATTACAGGCTTTCATTTTACACTCACTTGGCAGGATGGTAGTACCTCCCTGGGCAGTTGCTATCTACCAACCTACTACCTAGGATTTGCAGCAATGTTTCAAGTAAATGATTACTAAATTTCAGCCTCACCAGCTGCATCTTAATGGGGCATCTAGAGAGGGAATGAAGAATAGGATATGGCCATTGGAATGGAGAGAGGTTGGGTGGGAACAAATATTGAAAACTGGAAAAACAAAATTACTTTCAGATTAACCCTTTGACTGTTTCAGAGCCCTCTCTGAAACTGTCATTCTATGTCGCCAAATATTCGAAAAAAAAAAATTATTTTTTCTTATGAAAATGTTAGGAATATTTTTACTAGTGTTTTAAGCCTAAAAAAAATTTTTTGCCATCAGTACTTACCGAGATATAGAGCCGCAAAGTTTGCAGAAATTGACGTGCGTACGGCAACAGCGGCGACTGCTGCCCACCCGGTATTCTTTTATTTACTCTAATTCAAAGGTTTCTTGCATTTTTCAATATTTTTCTTTTCCAGGTAACTTATGTGGCCTGTGAGACCAATGTAAGGTGCATTGTTCAAATATACACTCATTATTTACAACACAATAACAGAACAAACTTTATCACTATTAGTTTGTGTATACACTTTGTTTACACAAACAAACAATACAAAACAATGTTTATTACTATTGTTCCATAATATATATACATATGTACAGTCACTAAACATGTTCCTAGAACTGCTGCAGCTTGTGGAACTCTTTGAAACATGGGTATATGCAGAGGGGCACTTCACACTCCTCACACATAAAACGAGTGTCCTCTGCGTGTTTGTGGGCGTTTTGTGGAATGCATACATACATAACACCTCTTCTGAGCATTTTTCTTGGCAGTAGTAGGAGGCAGTTGTATGGGGTAGTGATCACCAGGCCTCATACGAGATGACGTCTGTGGGCGCTGGTCTATTGCAGGAGTTGCTCCTTGGTACTTTGCAATTATTTGTCTGATTACTGACAGGCAAAATTCACCATATTTTGGTGTTTTGTTGGTCTTCAACTTGTATATGTTATAAGCATTTAGCATAGAGATATCAACAAGATGGAAAAAAAGTTTGATATACCACTTATAACTCTTGCGTACACAGTCTGCAAACCCAATCTGCATGTCACATTTGTCCACTAAGCGCATATTGAGGTTGTAGTCCATGACAGCTGCAGGCTTTAGAATGGGTTCGTTGGTCTCTCTGTTGTCCCTGCCACTGGGTACCATTTCGTTTGTGTGAACTGATGTCAACAATGTGACATCACGTTTGTCATGCCACCGAAATGCCATGATGTCATTGGCAGCAAAGGCTTGCACCTCACCTCTGCGAGTGCCAGCGTCAAACCTTGGCATATGTTTGTGATTACCACGCACTGTGCCACACACGTCTGTCAAGTTCACTCGCAAGAAATCACTGAGTAAGGGGCTTGTGTACCAGTTATCAGTAAATAACATATGCCCCTTACCAAGATATGGTTCCATCATTGTTCGAACCACATCACCAGATACCCAATAACTTCATGGTATCTCTCAAAGTATTACTGCCAGTGTACACAATAATATCTAAAACAAGACCACTTCTGCAATCACACAGTACAAATAGCTTTATACCAAAGCGTTTCCTCTTGCTTGGTATATATTTCTTGAATGAGAGTCTTCCTTTGAACAAAATCAAGGACTCATCAATAACAAGCTTCCTGAAGGGATAAAAATACATGCAGCACTTTTGTTTCAGGTACATAAACACATTTCTTATCTTATATAACCTGTCGCTTCTGTCAGGCCTGGTTTTGTCTGAAAAGTGTAACATACGTAACAGTATCAGGAAACGATTGACACCTATAATGTCACTAAAACCTGGAGTTGAAATCAGGCGATCTGTTGTCCAGTATGTGGTGACAGTGTGCTTATACACATGTGGCATAAGCATTATTGTGGCAAAAAACAGGTACATCTCTGCCACAGTTGTCTCCTTCCACTTGTGTAGCCGTGATTTTGGTGAGAGAATTGTATTTGCCATGGTGTAATCACAGTATGTATTTGTTTCCCTGACAATGATGTCCATCAGGGGTTCATCGAAAAATAACTCAAAGCAGTCCAGTTCACTGGCACTGTTCCCAAGTGGACAAGATGGCTTTATTCCACTTTGTGTTTCATCAAAGTCATGGGGACTGGGAACAAACTCGTCACCGTCCTGCCAATCCCAGATGCGGTCTGCTGGTGGGGTCTGGATATTGTACCGTGGTTGTGGTGGTGCAGGTTGTGGCAGTGTGGGGTAGGGTGAGGCTGGTTGTTCTGCTGAGTCAGCCGCGTGGCTAGTAGCGTGGCCCGGTGATGGTGCCACATGGGCCGTGCCACCCTCACTATCACCACCACTGCTTCCTTCCTCACTGTCACCATTCATACCCATCGTTACAATATCGTCATCTTCATTATCAGGTCATGGTGTTGGGCCACGGGATGTGCTCCCAGTGTTTCTCCTTCCCCTTGGAACAACATATGAAACACTACCAGACCGCATGCTACGTCATACATACTGGCGCTTCACTGGGGAATATTCACTCTCACTGTCACTAGAACTGCTTTCAATGACCTTGAAATCACTATCACTGCTATCATCAGGGTGTTGTACACGACCAAATAGTTTCCTCTTTCGTCCTGGTACAGGCGAACGTGAACGTGAACAAGCCGGCACAGCACCAGAGGTCAAAGGTTGTGGGTCATCTGGGTTTTCGTCACTATTTACGTTATCCTGGGCACTTTTTTCGGTAACACTCACTTGAAAACCCTTGAATTCACTGTTACTGACATTTTCATCGCTGTTAGAGCTATCACTTGGGAACAAAAGACCTCCAATCCGCCGAGGAGTGAGGAACTTCTTACCGAGAGGCATGGTGAAAATGGACTGACAACATGGCGTTCCCACAATGCACCGCTAGGTCCCAGATTTTTTTCACAGGGTGCACACCGACCACTGAGACCCATTCTCTCCCGTGTAGGCCTACCAGGCCTTTGGCGCTCGATTTGAAGCCGCTAGAATTTGTGCGTATAAATACGTCAGAAACATTGGCTCGTAAGACGTATTTATACGTCGGAAACAGTCAAAGGGTTAAGAGGAGAGGCCAAGAGCTAGAGCTCCTTATGTAACCCCAAATCAGAAATTATTCCCAATTTCAT